TTTATAGCAGGACACCCAAATAGAATTGCTTCAAGTAAAACACGTTTAACTTTGAAGTTCCTATGATTGAGCCGCCAAGACTTTCGTTTAGTCTTCACTTGTAGTGCATGCATATCCTAGGTTTTCTACTTACGACGGTCAACTAAATTTTAATAACATCGCTGTAATGACTCATGCCCAATATTCAGAATTCAGATATATGATACCTAATAGCCTCGACATTCCCTTACCTAAAGCACATACATCTCCGGGGTTTTCTTTTTATGGCGGCCAATGAGGTTTTATTGTCGCTCATTGTTATCGGTTAGGTGTCCGACTGATTATTTATTTATCATTTTTACTCAATTCTTATTTTTTTTTCCCAATTTTCTTTTGGGCATTACAATATATATATATATATATATATAAGAAATACAAAGTGGAAAATAAGAGGAGACTTAGAAGCAGTTGCTGGCGATGAAAACGCATTTATTGCATTCAATTGGTTGATGTTAGAATCATATCTGGACCTATAAAAACATAGTTTGTTTCTGTGCTTTTAATTAATTCGTCACAATCTCATCATCTTTTATATTTTCTTTTTCCCAAAGTAAAAAATAAAAATGGATTTTAATTACTGTGCTTCACAAAGGTGAAAAGTTGAATACTATTTTTTTTTAATAAAAATTAATATTAAATTGAAACAAAATAAATTTAAGGATGTGTTTAGAACTAATTTTGGTTATTTTTTACAATAATTTATCTTTTTTTTTATTTTAAAAAAAAAGTTGTATATTCTTATAATTTCTTTACCATAAGCTTCCTCTTAAAAAGATATTTTAATTTTTAGTCAAGAAAAAAAATATATTTAATTTTTAAAAAATTTTAAAATTTAAAATTATTATATATATTTAATTTTGAAGAACAAAAAAGTACAAACTAAATGGTTAATAAACTAAAAAAGAGAGTGATTATCAAACTTTCCAATTTATTCTATTTTAGACCTAATTTTTAAAATATCTCAAATTAATTTATGCGTTCTATTTTAGGTGTAATTTAAATATTTTATTTTATTTTTTAAATAATGAAACCATTATTAGTTGATTAATTAATAATGTCACCTACGTTTAAACTAATAAATAGTTTAGATACTAAGAAGGGGTATTTTTCAAATTTAAAGAACAACCAGGTTTTTCTTTTTCTTTTTAATTTAATATAATTCTTTTTTTAAACGAACAATCTGGAATTTAAATTAGAAAAAAAAAAAATCCAAGCTAGATAATTATATGAGGATGATAATGCAAGCGTTGAAATTAGAAAATTTATTAATTGTGTTTTGATATTATATGGAAACTATATAATATGGAGTGAATGGATAAAGAAGGTACAAAAATGTATTTCTAATAATCATTGTTGGAGTTATAATATTTATAATAACCTACATATTTATTTTTATTATATGTTACACACTGAAATTAGATCACCAAATAGGAGAGAGAAGGGAAACTTGGGCCCAGGCCCAAATTCTGTAGTCGGCCTTATATGAGACACACGTCCAACATGCCTCGATACCTGTTCTTCGTTCAACCCAATTTCAGTTATTTTTTGTCCTATTCTAAAAACACTATTTTTGGGTGTACAAGCTGATAGCAGATATTGTTTTTTTTTTGTTGAGCTTTTTCGTTAGTAAAAGTTTCCACACTCTTATAAAGAATGGTTCGTTTTTGTCTCTAATTGATGTGGGGGCTCACGTGTTCTTTCTCATTCAAAGTAATTTGATGGTTGCTGTCGCGTGAAGATTGGATACAGTAGTATGTTTGGATTTTGACAATAACAACTAAAATTGTTAGTGGGGAATAAAAACTTGTTAGACACATCTGTCATATTGTAAAACTCTTTCTTCGAAGACTCGAGTTTCCATAAAAAATAACCTAATAATGTTTGATTTTTGGAGAATATGAGAAAATAATTGGGCCTAAATTAAATTAAATTAAATGTGTTATTTTTCTTGACCTAAGCCCAAAAATTAATATTTCTAAACTATATATATGAAAATGTTAGGGTAAATTTTAGGAGGGTAAGAGTAAATTAAAATAAAAAGAGCTAGAAATGGAAACAAATCTCATCCTAATTAGTTTCCAAATATAAACTTGGGAGGTGGCTTAAATTCGGGGGAAGTTTCACCTGAAAAATGTTAGGTCAGCATGAGTACACAATTACGACTTAAAAGAGATAGGTTCAACTCTTTGAAGCCATTATAACGGCCCCGAAATTTAAGGCACGTGCGAGTTAGGTGGATTTTTTTTTGAAATATGAATAAAGATAAAAAATATGGTGAGATATTCATCGAAATTTGAATTTTAATGTGTTAGAAAATTTGTAGCAATTTAAGAGGGGATTAATGTTTATTTATTTATTTATATATTCAATTGAAAAATAAAGAAAATTTCATTAAAAAAGGTCAAAAAGGGAGATAATATTCCATAGAGTTATTACATGGACGCCACGTGTTGATTTATTCGGTTCTCAAGTAACTTTACAACCAAAACTCTTACCATGTATGAGTAGTTTTTAAAATAGTTTTATAAATATTATTTTTTGAACTTTGTTTCAATTTGTTTATGTATTATTTCTCTATTTAAATCGTTAGATATTAAAAGTTGATTGGATAATATGATGTGAGTGGAAGATTTAAATAGACGAGAATCCTTTTAATTATATTCATTTCATTCCTATAAATATCCGTTTCAACTTTCTTTAAATTGCCACGTAGTAACGAAGTGGCCATTACTAATATATATATATATATATATATATATATATATGAAAGGAATGGTCATTCAAAAGATTTTAATGGGAAAAAAGAACCCAAGATTATTATTATTATTATTATTATTATTATTATTTTGGTGTTTTTAATTTTTGATATTTAAAATTAAATTGATTGGAAAAGTGGAAGAGAGAAAGGGAAAGGATACCCTACACTTAGGTACTCGACCCTACCTTTCCTTCCCATGCATGCATGCACGCAATAATAATAATAATAATAATAATTTAATGTTAAAAATAAGAAATTCAATAAAGTCAATTTGAATTTTATATTTTCAGATTTTTTTTTTGTAGAAGATTTACAAATTAGACTCTAATTTAAACCATGGCTCAAGATGCATTATAATATGTTTGTAGACTGTAAAATTAGCTGTAGTTGAAAATTAAATATTAAATTTAGTTAATATAGATTTTTTTTTTTTTTTTTTTTGTTAAACTAATGTCTTTAATATCATTTGATTTCATATTGATTTATATTATTTTTTGCAACACAAAACCAAAGCAAATTAAATAATTTTTTTTAGCGAATTATTTTTAATAATCTTCAAAATAAAAATAATATTTATAATTAGATCAAACATGTTTTCACTAAAATTCAAAATTTTCAATGGATTAATTTAGATATTTTAAAGTAAATCCCAACTATTTCTCCTCGATTACATTTAAAATCGATTGAAAATTACTTAAAAACATTATTCTTCTTCTAAAACCAATCATAACGTATTAATAAATATTATCATGAAATTCTATCTACATAAGTAAATAAAAATTAGAAGAGATGGTAAAAAAATGAAAATCTTGATTTAAAATAAGATTCAAATAAGAGGAAATCTGTTCAATTTTGAAAGTGTATGTTTTTGTATTTGATGCAATTATTACCCATAAAGATTTATCTTTTCGAAATACAAAAAATAAAATGGAGGCCACTCTAAAAAAAACCCACACTTTTTAATTTTTATTTCTAGTGGGTTTGCCTTTAATTGGATGCTTAATCTTAATCCTTAAACCCATCTCTCTCTCTCTCTCTCTCTCTCTCTCTCTCTCTCTCTCTCTCTCTCTATATATATATATATATATATATATATATATATATATATATATATATATATATATATATATATATTATATTCTTCGATTATATCTTGATTAAAAAAATTAGATATTTGAATTTTTATTATATTGAGTTAAATATATATTGTGTTAAAAGTCAACTTTAGATCAGATTTAATTAGTAAAAGATTGTAGTTGAATCTCCAATACACAATGGATTTTTTGTAAAATATGTAAAATAAGTACATTATATAAAATGGAAAATAATGATGAGGCTTAAATCTATATATTCAACAATAAAATATAACAATAATCAAATTATTATTATTATGTTTTACTTAATAAATAAGTTATTTAATGAGTGCTATGAATCAATTATTTCTCTAAATCATCACTTAAATTAAAAACGTCATGATTACAAACATGTCTATCAAACAATATAAGAAAAAAAAATGCAGTCAATGGTATTATTTTTAAAAAAATTAATAATATAGATTCCCAAACAATATTAAAATAGTTATATATATATAAGTAGAAAATTGGTGTCAACTTTATGGTGTAGCTTGGAATAATGTAAGGCATCATTTAAAGTAGTAAATTAGTGAAATAAATGCAATAAAATAAGAGGGAAAAAATGATGATATTCTTATTTTTAATAATAAAACTGTTCTTGATTGAGAGATGGTGTGTGAAAGAAGATGAGAGATAGAAGAGTATTGAGTTGAATTAAGGGTGTGATTTGGGTAATTAAGAAAACCAATCGTTCACTAAGCTAAGTTTGAGTAGTTAATTTGTATTTAGTATTATTTATTTATTTTTAATGTAAATCTAAACCCATTGGATTTAGCAAATTAAAGAAACGGAATTGGGGAATTGAAATTCAGAGATTGGATGAATGGATCATTGGTTAGTGGGTTTTTGTTATTTTTCACTTTCTTTCCATCTCTCTCTCTCTGTGTTAGTGGTTGGTTTGCTTTGAAATGGACCAACGGCGCTCCTCCTATCTATCTAATGGGGTTACTCTATCTGTATCCACCACCTGCGATTTCTTCTTCCTCTTCCTCTTCCTCTTCTTCTTCTTGTGAGTTGAGTACTCTGTTTTCACCTTCTGTCTCTGCTCTGCTTTCTTCTTCCTTCAGTTCTTCTTTTTTGGGGTTTTTTTTTTCATCTAGGTTTGTGTAATCCTCGATATTGCTTTGTTCGATCGCCTTGTTCTTTTGTTTTTTCCTTTGTTGCTCTGTTTTTTATCTGTTTCTCTGTGCTCTGTTCTTATGTTTTTGATTGTTTAGTGATTGAAGGAAGTTCATGTGGGTGTTTTTTTTCCCCTCTTCTTTTTGGCCCTTTTCGATTTAGTTTCATCTCTTGATTGTAGGAACTCGTGTATTTTGATTTTGGTGATTTGACTGTTGGAAAATGGCACCACAAACTGGGTATTTGAAAGAACATGAAGGGATTGTTCCCAACTCCCTTGGCCAGTTATCATCCTCCCCTACTCGACTGTGGAGTGCTGCCTTTGGGCTAGGTTCCCACTCAATTTTTGGGGATTTTGGTCAGGTGAAGGAACAACTTGACAGTAATGGGAAGGAATTTGCTGCAACTAAACAAGCTGCTCATGGTTTGGAAAAACTGAACACTGCTCCATTTTCCATCTATCCAGGTAACTTTTTGTTCATTCGGTTCATTTTCATTTCCACGATCATATTTAAGCTTGCCAAAAAGCATGAAAATAATTAAGAGTTGCTTATAAATGGTGGATTTACAAATTTTCGAGTGACTCAATATCACAAGCATATCTCTAGGCTACTCAAAAGTCGATTAAGAGGTGGCTAGGGAATGGTTTATTCAAAACGAATAGCATAGGTAGGTTGAGGAAGAAGCTGGATACTTCTAATCTGACATGTAGCAAACATATGCTCTGAGGTACTACTATTCAAAATGCGATAGGCCATGGATAACAAATGTTTGTAAGAGGAAACAAGTTAGGGGAGGAGGGACCTAGATTGTTTGTGCTGATGAGCTCGACTTATAGCTTAGTAACGTGACGTTGGGGGACTGGAGAAGTCGAGAGGGAAAGTGTATCAGGACGGTATGCTTTCAGTGTTTTGAGTTTGCTTAGGCTGAGAGGGTAGGGAGCTCTTTGAACATCTCCAAGCTTGTGGCCTCATTGTGGATAATGGATATTAAGCTCTATTCAAGACTAACCTCTAATAAGTTTCCAACTTCGATATGGGCTTTACTACTACTGAAATAACATGCATCCCAGGTCACCATATAGACTTGACAGTAGAGTGCAATCTTCTTGAGCAATTTATGTCCCAATCATCTACTGTTGAAGTACACCCTGTGCAACACAGAAGCCGCACTGCCGGTTGACCCTCTACCCGATGGCAACTATCCCTTTTCTTTTTATGCTTAACTACGACCCTTTGTTCTACTCAATGGGTACATATACAACCCTCAGACCCAATGGTTAGGTTCGACAGAAGTTCGTGCCGCTTATCCCGGCTACAATATGCTTTTCTTTTGTGTATTTAGTCTTAAAACTGGATCTCCCATTTTCCTCAACTAATATTTCTACCATCCCTTCTTCAGAATATTATTTTCTAGCTAATACTTCATCAAGGATTTAGCTAAAATCTCAATGTTTATGAAACAAGAGGGAAAGAAAGTAGCATGAAACTCAAGGAAGACTATTACCTTTTTCTCTTTTTGTGCTGGCTGAGTTAAAATGTCGAACATAATGGTGAGCTTGTTATCCGATGAGAAAACTCCTCTTGAAACATCCATGCAGGTGACACTAAGAATTCTGTGGATGCACAAAAACCTTCACCAGTTTTTTCCCTGCAATCACCTCTGTCAGAATATCACAACCCTTTCGAGCTCGGATTCAGCCAGCCCCTGGTAGGATCTAAAATGTTAATTGAATTTCCCCACTAAAACAGTGCTTTATACATATATATGTTACTGATTATGAAGACGAAAAATGTAGACATGTGAAAATTATCCTTACATGGAACAGCATTATGGCATCATCTCAGCTTATGGACCTCAAATACCAGTATGTTTCCGTCCATTCTTCAACCACTTCCTTTTTACCTTCTTTTTTCCTTATATGTATTCAATGTGAAATGTCTTATATTCATAGATATTTTCCAACAAAAAAAAAAAAAGTTAGATAGGTGCATAGGCAGAGCTAAGTATGCAAAAAAATCAAAATGGTGAGTGGAAAACAATACAATATAGCCAAAAACCAGAAATGGTGCGAAGGAGATGACACATTTAGGCCTCCTAGATGAATGCTGCCAAAAAAGTTAATAGGAAACACAACTCAGGGTTTCATGTAATGAAGTATGGTAGAGAAGTAATTTTCTTTGAACAATATATTTGTTGATTGGGTTCTGCTATTCATTGTAAGCTATCTGGAAAAGGTCAGTCTGCCTAATCTATGAGCAAAAACTTAACCATTTGCAATAATTAGGGTCGGGTTATGCTGCCAATGAGATTAACAACAGATGATGAACCAATTTATGTGAATGCAAAGCAATATCATGGAATCATTAGGCGCAGGCAGATCCGTGCCAAGGCAATGATGAAGAATCGACCTGCAAGAACTCGAAAGGTATGTAAGTATAAGTCTTACAGAGGTGTCTGTCCTAGCTTTTGAACACTTTAATATGATATACTATCCAGCATCATGTTCATTCTGTTGTCTGAACGAAATGTTATTGTGATTTATATGCCTCGATTATATCCTTCAGTCCAAATACTTTTCTTTGTCCTGTGCAGAACTAGTATCCACATTATTCCTGCTGATATAGATTGCATATCTGTCTTACAGCCATATATACATGAATCGCGTCATCTCCACGCAATGCGCCGTCCACGGGGATCCGGTGGCCGTTTCCTGAACATGAAGAATCAGCCAAATGAGAAGAGTTCTATGGTACCAAAGAAAGTTGATGATGTCAATCTTTCTGATTTAACTGGTTCTCAATGTTCTGAGGTTCTGCAATCAGAAAGTGGAACTTTGAACTCCCAAAATGAAGCCAAGGATGGGAGGGGCTTTAATCTGTTGAGTTCTGAGGTATCGAGCATGTTCTCGAGAGGACTGCAACGTTTTCAAATCAACCATATTGGACCATCAATGCAGTCACTGGCAGAGATCATTGATGGAGGAGGGCATGGCATGGTTCTCCCCAAATGGGTTGCAGCAGCTGATAACTGCTGTGACCTTTGTTTTTGACCGGTAAGGCAATGGGTTCTTGGTGCAAGTCACTGCACCAAGACCCTGTCTTTGTTGCGACCAAATCCAGCTTGCTTCAATGTCGTCGTTGATGGCCATTGTTTCAGGCTTCGCGAAGAGGATAGTCCCCGCGTTTGGTTGCAATGGCAAGTCATTTTTGGCTCTAATCATTAGCTCTATATGATGATTCTTATCTCTCTGTTCTGCATCTCATAATGAGAGGTAGCTGAGAGAAACAAAAGATTCATCCAAACAGATATCCAGTATGAAGTTATTGCAGTAAACAGAAGGGTTTGTTTGAAGAATAAGAGCATCAAAAGTATGAATTCTGCACTCTGTATGTGACCCTCAATGTAGAATAAGAAGAATGTCTATGAAGTCTAGTGTTTGGTTGTTTAAATTCAGAAATTCATAAGCAATTTGTACTGAACAAAGATGCTTGGCTTGTGGGTTTGTATAAAGATAACTGTGATGTTTGCTTTTGGTTTATGTAATAAACTACATTATCTTTGTAACATAATACATGCTTTTTTTATCCCTTCGAATTTCTTGTACTAGAAAGAATTCTAAGCTTACTCTCATGGCTCAAACCCACCTCTAAGAATCAGCCCAAAAAGGAGAAAAGCTCTGATACCAAATAATATGGAATCACTATCAGGAGAGTAAGATTCAGATCATCTTGTTGATTGAATATCTCAAAGCAAAAACACTTATTTGAGATTCGAATCACTCTACAAACAAGATTGATCATGTCTAGCTTGAATGATTCTTGTTGATAAAAAAATATCTCAAGGCAGGAACAGCTGTTTGAGATTCGAATCACTCCATAAGCAAAATTCATCACGTCGAACTTGAATGATTCTACATGCAACCTAAACTACATAGAGAAACTTAGCCATTGGCTAAAGAGAGCACAAATGCTCTTTTTACTACATTTTCTAAGTCTATCTTAGAAAGATAACATAATGACATTATATAGCCTCAAAATGAAAACTCTTACGAGGCTTTTCAAGAGTTGTAACTTTCATAAAGAAACATCAATTCTAAATTACTCTAAATTATGATCCACCCAAAATTGAAGCTTCATTTTTCTTCAATGTGGAAGTATATTGTATAATTGATATCTCTTGGTTCATATCGAAGATATTTCCACACACATATAAAGAATGTTTCCTTCTCCTCCCCAATCGAAGTGGGATCTCAAACTTACCTAATCGTGGAAGAGTTCAAAGAAGTATTCAAAGAGATCGAAAATTGAAATTAAATCTGAATGATGATAGATTTTATCAACCACCATAAGTTGGATTGGTACTAATACATCAACACAGAACGAACATTCACAATCTACCAATAGAGCTCAACAGATCAAGAACCCGGAAATGGGGGATAATCCTTCACAATCGCAAGCTAATAGAGATTAGAAAAACAACATAAAGAAAGACTCACAACGATTCGCTCAACCCCAGCAATCCAAGCCCTGCTTAATACAGCGGCTATGTGAGCTGCGTGGTAATGCTTCCCATGGCAGATTCCTTTAATTAAACATACCATCTGCATTTAAACACAACAATCTCATTCCAGAAAAGCAGAAGGACAGTGTAAACAATCGAATGAAATGGAGGCCTCACCTGTAAAATTGAGCGCAATATGTGCGATAAGGGATTGATAGAAAGGTCGGAAGGAGTTAATTGCAGGTGGATTGAGTAAGAAAGTGGGTTAGGTATGATTCGCAGTGTTCCCATGGCGGAGGAAAGCGAGGGAAGAACTAGAAAGACGCGCTTTCATTGAAGTTGTTTCAGATTTGTTCGAATTGATAAGGAGAGATGGAGATGACCTCCAACCCAATAAATATGACATTTGTTGATTATTTATACCCTAAACATTTACTCAAAAATACTTCTTTTTATAAATATTTTTATTAATTTTGCCTTATTTATATTTAGTTTTTTTTTTAATTAAATAAATATCCTTTTAAAAATATTAAAAACTAAATAATTATTAGCTCCCTTTGAATGTACAGACTCCCTAGTTGCTCGTGCATAAGTTATTCATTTGTTCTAAGATTTGGTAACGAGGTATTTAGTGCCAAAGTGACCATAGCTCGATAGTCGACATACCCTCTCGATCAAGAGGTTAAAGGTTCACAAACATTTTCGTATATTCAGAGACAAAGAACACGATCATATTAGGTTCAAAAGACATCAAGCATTTTCGCATACTGGCTTTTCACTCAAAGACTCAAACCTAATACATTAAACGTCTCAACCTTCTACTACGAGTTTTGCCTACTTTTTCATTTTATAATTTTTAGCTCGTAGTACCTTGAACTCTTAATCTTTTGTTTGAGAAGATAATATTTTGATCCGTTAGACTAGACCTAAGTCGGTCACTTTATTCGGAGACAGAGAACACGATACATAGACTAATTTACTCCGAAATATGAAATTTATTACACAAAAGAATCTAAGCTCCAATGGGTTTATACAACAGTGTCTAATCCAAAAGAACCATTCACCTGCTAATTCAATGACATCAAGGCCTCAATGTTTCATCAAACAATCTACACTCCATCTAACAAAAAAAATGATACAAAACGAGGTAATATGGGCAGTAACATACAGACGAACGGTGCGAGGGCTCGATCGAGAGTTTTTCGGTTGAAGACTACTCGTCAAACATCGTACAAAAGAGGCAGGCCTCAGGGGGTTGGAGGAGTTGGGGCTGAGGGGGTTGGAGTTGAAGGGGCTGGAGTAGAGCCACTACTATTACCACCATTCCAAGTCCAAGGCCGCAGGCTGAGGATAATGATCAAGGCAACGATCAGCAAAATGATAATGCCAATAATCGTCCATTTACGAGTGCTTTTCTGGTATACTCTTGCTTTTGACAACTCCTGTGTGCCACCACGAACAAAAGAATGAGCTCTGTTCACATGGCTCTCGATGTCGTCGAGTTTTTCGCCTTGTTCGTGTACCAAGACCGCCATGTCCATGAAAACCTGGTGCAGCTCCTTCAGATTCCTTTCCAGGTCTTTCACTGCATCATGCCTCTCCTGGATCTCGCTAATGGTGTCTAAGATTCTGCCTCTTCCTTGTTCTTGAATGGCTTTCTGCAAGAATGTCTCGCTTTCCCCTGCATAGTTGGAGATATCTCATTATTATTCAATTCTCAACTATCTTCTTCTCGAATAAAGTACACTATAGAACCTCTCCTGAGGTCTATGTAGCCCTCGAACAGCCTCTTCTTAATCGAGGCTCGACTCCTTTCTCAAGAGCCCTCGAATAAAGTACACCCTCTATTCGTCACATGGGTCACTTTTGACTACACCTTCAACACTAGCAATTTCTTTGTTGATTCTATTGACATGGCTAAATTAAGGACATGACTCTGTTATCGTATTAGGAATCACGGACTTACAGAATGGTATGATATTGTCCACTTTGAGCCTAAGCTCTCGTGGTTTTACCCAAAAGGCCTCGTACCGAGATGTATTCCTTACTTATAAACCCACGATCATTCCCTAAATTAGCCAACGTGAGACTCCCTCTCAACAATTTTCAACCCACGAGCCAAAATTGATAAGCAAAGAACATGATAGAGTGAATTTGAGTTATCTCACCTGTAGATATCAAGATATCAATGGTTTTCTCATCCGGATTTTCACCAGTAACAGTGAAATACCTCCGCTGCACGGTCTCCCTGTACTCAGAAGAGATTTGTTGCCTCAAATTATTGAACCCCTCCATCGAATCCTGCAATTTCTTCCTCAACCCACTGAGCACAGAAGTCCGAGTCCGGTCAGAGGACGATCCAGGGCCGCAGCCAGGTTGGGTCCGATTGGAGGCATTGGAGCGATCAAGCGCCTCCAATCGGACCTTAATGAGCTTAGCCTTCTTGAGAGCAAGGGAAACATCCGAATCCATGCGAGATCGGAGGTCCTTAACAGCCTTAGCATTGTGAAGCGTCTTACTCTGTTCATGGGAGTCGTAGAGGTTCTGGTAGAGTTTCTCAAGCTCCTTGAGTTCGTCTTTCACAGATTCAACGTCTTCAAAGAACTTGTCGAGATTAGCAGCCGTAGGGGAAGAGGAGGAGATACCCATCTCAACGACATGGCTGTCGCGAGAGAAAGAGCGAGAGGAGAACAAATCGTTCATTGACCCTTTGATGTTCTTCAGGTAAAGTAGCGAAATCCGACAAGAAGAAGGGGGGAATTGGATGAAGAAACAGGGGAATTGAAGAACAGAGAAGGAAGGGTTGATGGGTTATATGAGAAAAGAGGGAATCGAGGTCAAGTGGGTCATAAATGGAGGGAGAAGAAGAGTCAAAGGGGAGGGGCGGAGGGGGTGAGATAGGTGTGGAAGAAATGGAAGAAAGGAAGCTCCATGGAAAGGATGGTGATGGTTGGGATTTGAATGAGTCCCATACAAAAAGAAACCTACTTTTCAAAATCTTCTTTTCAGATATATATTAAATATAAGTATTATATTTGAAATGTCAATTTTAGGGAAATGTTTTCTTTGGATTACGCGGTGCTTGTAGGTGTTAGGGAAATGTAAATTTAGAAGGTTCCAATTGGACGTCGTCGACTGTCTTAGCTTACTCGGTCATGCCATTGGGAATGGACCCACGTGTCGCTTATCTTATTGGGACATCTCATACATCCTTCCATCTAGGTTCTATTGGGGCATTGACACTCATGTGCTCGTTCTATGTCATTTATGAATACCGTAGCGGATAGTGATGTATATATCAACCTTCGATATGTGGGTTGAGGTATAGTGCCGGCACACTCATGTCGCCCAGTACTGTTCTTGAAAAACACATTTCGAAACAAGTCACCCGAGACACTCGTCTCGACACGTTCACCCTCACTAACGCACAAAAAACTCATTTCAAAGGAAGTCGCATGAGACACTCGTCTCGACATGTTCACCCTCACTATGGCACACACGTGTTATAGGAATGGTGGAGAGTTTACACCCTACGACCATTCACCAAAATCACGAAAATCACGTATATGCGAGAAGGTTTTATTTAGTTTGAAATTGTTATACTCATAATAGTCAAAGTTGATTATCATTTCAATTATTTTTCATACTCATATTTAATTTAGAATTTATTATAAGATAATTATTTAAGAAGTTGTATAGTTTAAATTACACCAACCTGAATTATTTGATATAAGTTGTTCATTGATATAAGAAAGAGAATAAAATGTGAAAATTTTGTGATAACTCTATCTTAAATTCTCTCGTCAAATTAAAAAAAAATTAAATAATTATCAAACGAAACTTCATTTGTCAGAATTTCATTTTTTTAAAATTTTTTATATATCTCTATCATAGTTAGTCCAAGATATTGGCATGAAGCAATATTGAAATTGGTACTTACAAAAAATAATAAAAATAACGATTTTTTTTAATGACAAAAAGATAACTTCAAAAATTGCTAATTAAACTTGAGTTTCTCTAATCTTGTATACAGCGAGAGGGTAAAAAAGGCATTGTAGTTCTAGTTTCCTCTTATTACACCAACACCAGGAAAGAATATAATTTAACCTATAGATAAACTTGATTAAGCTGCCTACCCTCCTCAAAAATGCTGTTGATATGAATATAATTCACAAGCAAAATTATAACAATGCTATGAAAACATTCCTAGGTGAAAATGAAAGGAAAACGAACCTGTTTCCATGATTTTGCAACTTCTCAAGTAGATTGAAGGACAGTAAGATAGTACGGATAGCCCCGGCATGTTCCCGACGAGACAGTAGTTTTACTGTTTCCTGAACCGGGCGACGGTAGAATTTCCCACTGTAAAATATAGTTTGATAGATCATATATTCCAGGAGAAAATATACAGATCTGAAGAGGAGCTACAGTCATGGACTTGGGTTCAATTTGTACTGTTGTTGAGCTTGTTCCAGACCAGATAAAGGGAGATACGCTTTCGAGTGAAGACGACTTCTCCGTTTGTGCTCCAAGAACATCAGATGTGACCTTAATGTCCTGAGTGAGTGAGACATAGTGCCATCCTGTTTGGTTTGTGGAAGAGCTAGGCGATTGGGGAGCGGATTCATTGCCTTCACTCGTAGATGCAGAATCTATTGTTTTGATGCGTATAGATGCAGTTGAGTCTGATGAGTTATAGATTGTCATTTTGAAATTGATTTCACTAAAAGAAGTGGAGAAGTTGTGATATGAACTCCGAGGCCCTTCGAGTAGCCACGATATAGGACTGTTGCTTGAAGTACTGCATAAATAGAAAAGAAAGGACAAATGAGTTGTATTAATAGAAAAGCTTGCATCACCAGATGAGTATCATATTGCTCTGAATCTTACCGACAATGACAGACATGATGAGAGAATAGACGTGATGAATCAAAAATTACAGGATCAGTAGTATTCTTATGTGGCCGAGTGATCAATATGAAGTCTACTGTATTTATGTCCTGAAAAATGCAGAAGGATCATGGTAAGAAAACATTTTAACTATCAGAAAACGCAACGAATGTAAGATAGACCCCGACTCTGGGGGTTGTTACCAACTACTAATCCACGAGATCCTAACAATGAAAAATTTATTACCGCACTCAGAAGCCTCCAGACTCAACAATGTTCATCAGGTTTGCAACTAAAAGATACTGCTTAATTCTACAACAGTTCGAAACTTGTGTACATATTTAATTGAGATACTCAATAACCGAGGTGTGTGGCCCAAGGAGTTTCGGAACATGACCAGTGACTACTCATGAATCTAAGAATCAGTCACTTCCTGTGAGAATACATAGAAAAGTCGCCTACATACACCGGCATTTGAATCTAAGTTACATGGTTAAAATGAAAATAAATTACCTGGTTTGAAGTTCCTTGGTGCGCTCTTTCAGAATAATGGAAAGCAGCTAGAGGAAAACTAGCTGTGTCGAAGACCTGTTCATTGCTAGTCTGAGGACCCAACTTTAGATCACTTCCAAGTAGCGGGGGGACAGAAGATACATTTTTTTCAGAACCAAACGCTTTGTTATTATTCTGAATACAAAGAAGAATTTATGAGATTAGTAGTGATTGCAAATTTTTAACATGGTGTAGTACACAAGAAAAAAGATAAAAATTCGCCCAGGTAACTAAGTGAACTTAAGACTATAAGTCGTACTTGAAGTTTGTTTGAAAGACACTTTCCATAGATGGCAGGTGAAAGTATCAAATTCAAATGACACCCTTTTCATTTAAGCGATTGCTACTTTATCCATTATACTTGAAAGTCTTTCTCTGTTAGTTTTGCCCTTAAAGATCTCACCACCTAGTTATAGATCATATCAACTAAAGAATGATGCCCACATGCCACGACTCTTCTGAAATATATTTTTGTCCGGAAAGAGAAAAAAAGCTCATCTTTCATGCATACTTCCCAAAAAGATACGATTATGAATTGAAACTTTCCTGTCATTCTCCCACAAGAATCTCTACTCCAATTAAGAGGGAAGGGTCTTCTCCCTCTTCCTAACAAAAGATCTACAAGGGCAACTCGTGGATGTGATACAAGATTTGTTAAATTTAACCAATAGTTTATATGAGGGGTCATTGAAAATAACTTCACAAACTTAAGGCTAAATCATTTTTGGCAACAGTGCAAGGGATCAGATTGAAAGTGCTTTCAAGTACGTGGTTAACATATGGTTACTCCAATTATAAAGTGCATACTTTATTACTGAAACTGCATAGTCAAAGATAAAATAATAGTAAAGCATTTAAACGAAGTGAATGTGCAATAATAAGAAAAACTTAGCTTAGGTTTAGCTCCTTGTATATACCTTGAGAACAAAGAAACATGACAATGCTTGGCTAGGCATTAGAGCTCGTGAAGGAAAAATAGTATCAACAGGTTCAAGTAACGAAAGTTCCCAATTCTGTCCAATAGATGACAACTGATGAATTTGGAAAACCTGAGAGCTAGTCTTGTTGATAACATCCATTCGGACAAGAAACTCATGCAGTCTTGAAGGACACGGATTTATTTGGAATGATAAATCCAGGGACGGCAAAACCTTAAGACAGTGAAAAAGAAAAAAATCCCAAATTAGAATATTTGGTAGATCATAAATCCATCCAGAGGGAGAAATTTGTGTTCATGAAGTACGCAATAAATCTGCGATGCAACTTGGAGAACATGAAGAAGAGAAATCCCACCAAATAAAGTAGAAATTGTAAAAAAGACAATTATTTATTTTACGGGAAACAAAACATCTACCAAGACAAAAAAAAGAAAAAAGTATAAAGGTGCCACTGGACACAAGCAGCCAGAAAGCACAACTCCTTCAGAAGCGACAGAGCTATATTAAAAAGATGATAAGTAAAGCTGCCAAAACAGGTGCCAGAACCCAGACAACCAAGAACCAAAAAACAGATATCCGCCTCCCATATAACGGGGGAAAAGGGTAATAGAAAGGAAAACGAAGTATTAAAGAACCCTATGTTTACACGAGTTATACTGTATCAAAGGTAAACCCACTAGTTTCAACTATTAAGACAAACTTATAAACAGCTAAAAGTCACTTGAGCCACCGAGTCGTGCATATTTTACAATACCTGAATATTGTAGTGCATGCGTAGAATGCGATATTTCATGATATCTGATACATCTTCCATCTCATAATATATGCTTATGTACAAGGATATATCTCCAGGAACAGCAGCTCGAAGCCAAAGGGGTAACAATAAGGATGCTCCGCCTTGAATTGAAGTGTCCTGGAACGTTTGAGTCTCAAATACATGACTGAAGTATTGATTTTTTTAACTAGGAAATAGAACACATAAAATAATGCAATAATAATTTCAAAGAGATTTGGGGTAAGGCATCTTCTCAAGTACTAAAATAACAATGTCTACATAATCTTATCCCGCTTGATCTACAAAGAAAAGAGACTAAAATCTAAGAACCTCACATGCTTGGACTGATGATAATAATATATTTAACACCCATAATTTGTTTGCCAATAGTAACCTTATAACCCTACTCGTAGAGACTTAAGATCGCATTTATTATCCGAAAGCAAGAGGTTCATTAAGTAACCATTCCCAAAATAGTTAGCTTAAAAAATTTAGATTACCAACACTTGAAACATCTAACAATTTACATTTTTGAAGAAATTCAATCCGAACGTATGGGTGTTGGAAAATTTATTGCTATTCGCCAGTCAAAAATAGCACAAAGAATGTATTTGACACTGACCTCTGGGAACAAAAACGTGTCATTTGATGTTGTATCAGGGATGGCTAGTACTCCCTGTTCACTATTTTTTGGCTTCTCCAAGCAAGCAGGAAAGTCTGCATTCATATTTTCTTGGTTCCCAATTTTCAAGAATCGTGATTGACTGATCTTCATTTTCAAATTCTGCAAGAATTTAATTATTAGGAAGTTAAGTAAGAATGCTCCAACATCTACCACAATGCTTAAATCACACATGCACACAGACAGAGTCTTTGCCAGACATATAGAGGTCCGGTCAGGCAGTTTTTGATGAAAAGTGGCAAGTATCTCACAATTTCATTGAAGTCGAGTCTTTAAGACTTCTTTAAGGTCAACCAGATTGTGATCGACTGAATTACAAATTCTACAAGTCAAGTAACCAAGTATGTGAAGAATAGTCAAGTTGCAACTCTTATACCTTTACAGAAAACATAGATTCATTTTTCAGTTCAAGGACAAGGCGCTGTAAATCTCCAGCATATGCCGCTTTAGGAAGTGACAAAATACTACCGTCCAACTTTGGTAGACTCTGGATGTTAAGAATATAGGTGTTAGTAAAGGTAGTTCAGCTTAATCTGCAACCCAAAAAATGTTTAAAAAAAAAAACAGAGGCTATGAAGAAGATATGCACCTTGATCACTACAAACTTCAGGTTATCAGCAAGAGAAGGCTTAGCTTTCTGTCTCCCCTTACCAATACTCTTCTGTCCTAAATTGTTAATAAAATTGTGGAACCCCACGACAGAATCAGAAAGTTTCCACCTAATACCAACCACTTGTAGGACGCCTTCTACTTTGGGAGTAACTGTCAGTTGCACCTGGAAAAATTAGAATCATTATAACAAAATCTGAGAGATGACAATAATTTCAATAAGAAAACATTAATTATATGCCAACTAGTGTTGTATACCCTAACTTTATGAATTAAGAGCAATGAAGCTATTTAGTGTTGATTAGTAGTTTTTTATAAAATAAAGAATTGGCCTTTCATTGAGATGTTTTTGAATGTCTGTTATGAATGTTTTAGATAGGCCAATTATTTTGTTGCATATTATCAGCCTTGTGGACTTGCATATATTATTTTTACTGAGGTATTAATATCCTAATAATTTTGTTTACTTCATGACATTCCTTATGGATTTGGATTCTAGTATGAGTATTGTGTTCTTCTGCATTTTTTTTATTCAAGGAAACATGATTTAAGTTCTCTCTTCTTTGATATTCAAGCTAGCAAATTCTCACTCTAGTTATAGTTCACCTTTGTATGCTTAGGTTATACTAAAGATTCTAGAGTCGGTACAATTCCTAATATGTATGGATTCGTTTTATAAGGCTTGATATCCAGGCATGCTAATCCTATTGTATGACCAGAAAACTTGCTGAGTGTATTTCATTTCAGGACAACCATTACCCAAACCTTCCAAATGTGGTTAGTAGAAATGATGAGAAGTAAATAGTTACATTCAGCACAATGCACGAGAATTATCATATGAGATACGTCAGTATCTTTTTTCTCTCTTTTTCCCTTTGCTTTGGTGTTTGTGTGCCCGCAGTTGAGAAGTGGAGGTCAAAAAGGGGACAACAGCCACCACCAAACAACTTCCAAACTTAATTACAATGATTAATAGAAATGATGAAGGTTAATCATTATATTCAGCCCAATCATGAGAATATACGAGTTATATCAACATCTTTTCTCTCTTTCCCCTTTATTATTTTGGTGTTTGCATGTTGCCTGTAGTTGAGAAGTGGAGGTCAAAAGGGTTGACCTAGTGACAATTGGAGAAAGGCAAAAAAAAAAAAAAAAAAAAAAAGAATACAAGAAATATAGAACATAAGTTCAAATATCGTAATGTCTGACGGCTCCACAATGTAGGCAATAGGCAAGTAAAAACTGCAGACTGATCGACTTACAACTTTTTCTTCATCCCCTTCTAATGAGAGGTGAACTTCAGACAAAGTAAATGAAGCATTGTGGGACCCAATATCCCTGGAATGGAGCAAAAGAACTGCCTTAACGAGCCAAGACACAATTATTGTAAATATATCAAGATTAAGTGCAAAAGTGCATTTACTTGATACCAGTAGAATAAATAAATATTACAACACATACCAATCAGATGACCACTTGAGTTCAGTATCATTCTGGATACCGGCAATCATGTTATTTGAATCTGTACCATCACTGACACTCATTCTCCAATTTGGGAAAAGTAAGAAAGAATATCCAAAATCCAAAACAAGGAAGATTTGAAGTACCAGATCCAGTTTCATCAGATTTTGAAGAAAGGTCACATATCAGGGAAACGCTAGAGATGGAAATAGGGATCTGAAGAGGGTTTTTAAATACAATATCCACTTTCACTGGTTCTGCAAAAATAAAGGAAGAAAAAAAGAAAGAAAACAGTATTATGTATCGCATCAATAACAAAGCAAACTACATCAAATATGCAGATCTCTTATAAAGATTATTTATTCCAGACAATATAAAAAGGCCTCACAGATTTGCTATGAACCCTGCTTTGTTATTATCGGTTCTTTCATTTAGCCAAAGAAATTCATCAACATATAAAGCCATTGCCCTATTTACTCGGAAATTTTTTGAAGGGATCTTGTATGCTATTCCTCACTATCTTATGGAAGAAAACAGTCTTTCTTAAGTTGGTGCACTCTGGGTCACAATGAGATGGATATCTTTCCCATGACTCTCCTATTAGCACTTAGTTGGTCCAACTAAGCTGAAGCATCGTACTTAAGACTGTATGCCACCTGCTTAACTCTCAAATCATCAGGTGTATCAGATTGGTGGAAAAAATTGTTCACAATTTTATGCCACCAGCTTAACTCTCAAATCATCAGGTGTATCAGATTGGTGGAAAAAATTGTTCACAATTTTACCCAACCACGAAACACTTCAGCGTTCATCCCATCTGATGCTATCTTAAATTCTTAAGTATTAAGGAGGAAATATCTTTTTAGCAAAAGTTTAAAAATTAATACTCAGTTTTGTGGTCTACTTGCTTGAAGCTTTAGTGGTTTGAGGAGCTTCCATTAAAGTTTTAGCCTTTGTTTGAAGGCTGTCTGAGGGTCTTTGGTGCTTTTATCTTCTAGTTTTGCAATTTTTGTTGTTAGTTGGCTGTTCTTTCGTTCCTTCATCTTGTTTAGTTTGTTTGGTTTCCTTTCAGGTTCTTGTAAACTTTTTATCTTTTGTTTTCCTTTGAGCGTTATGTTTTTCCTTCTCCCTCTTCGAAGGTTTGTATCTTAGAGCTTTTTCTTCCTTTTAATATATCAATGAAAAGTTTGTACCCGTTAAAAAAAAAAAAGTACAAACCAAGTAATGGAGCTTTGCCTAAAATAATAACATATGAGGGTCTAAGTGCTGCAGTCAAGGTTTGGTTCATAGCTATGAACATTTGATCTAAGCCACAATGACATGCTCCATGGCGGCCACATGATCAGGAATTGCGCTGATCATTACAATCAATTGCTATAACTTGAGCACATAAAATATAAGCTCTTTGGTGGCTTCTTACTTCTCCATAGAGGTGAGTTTTCATTTTTCATATATAATGGAAGTACTTTTGTGTTTCTATTACAGGAAGTACTGAAACATCAATTACAGGGTAGTACTGTAGCTCCAATAGGTTATTTTATTAAACTTCCTCAATCCCAACACACACAAAACCTTTGGAACTATGTTTAAGTAATTCGACAAAGCATTTAAATAGGTAACTATAAGTAATATTGGGGTAAATCTTATAATTACCTATTTGACAGGTATGCTTACCTCTGGTAACGCCTCAGCTTTCAAAAGTTATCACAGTAGCTAAAAGTTATCATAAAATAATAAGATCAACATGCCATCATTTTTTTATGAGACATGCTGTGACCATATCTTGCAATTTTACGTCAAATAATAGAGAATCTTTTTTTATGAGACGTGATTTATGATGGTCATTAAGCTGGATATGTGCTACAGTCACTCTATACCTCCTGCAACGCAAATATTTGATTCTTTATACTTTCTCGACATTATCTTTGACTGTATCTCCAACCAATTTGTCCTACCAGAGAACAATGATGGAATCATGTCCTCCTCCAACGAATGCCACAAACTTTCTCGAACAATAGCCTATAATGTTTCAAAATATGCCAATGAGCAAGGTTATAGAGATCATAACAAAAGCTACAAGAAGCATCCATAACACATTGCACTTCCATTAACCATAGTGGAAGTCTTGTTTTCTCAAAAAAAAAAAAAAAAAAAAAAAAAAAAAAAAAAAAAAAAAAAACAAAAACAAAACAAAACAAAAATAATGGGGAATATACCAATCAACTGGAAAAAAATTTACCAGTAAATGGTCAATTAAACCCTGTTTGAATAAGAAAGAGCATTTATTCTCAAATGGAATGCAGGGAAATGAGAGGAAAAGAGGAGAGGAATAGAGAGGGAGACTGCGAGAGAGTTGGTTTGAGGAGGATTCCAAATAAAAAAACAAAATGGAAAAATTAAACTTACAGCTGAAGCGGATGCATAAGTTCGATGATCTTCAAAGATAACCTTTAATGATGAAATGTTGATCTTGGGCAATGGTAGTTTTAACACCTTGACCGTCTTTCCTGCTTTCTGCAGGATAAAATCAGTTGGAAAAAAAAAATTAATAATTGAAAGCAACAGGAAGAAGTCAAAAAGTTTGCTTTGTTGCACCAAAACATCGGCCGCCTCCCTCCTGGTTTGGCCATAGAAAGACATTAGAAGTAATCATCGGAGTTGAAAAGAAAGAAATTGAGTGTTGATTTTTCTGAATTGGAGTTCGATGGAAAGTGGAGACAAAAATGAAAATTTTCACCTGAAAATTTGAGAAATGGTTTCAAGAACACTCTCATCAAAAGCTTAATGAGGGATATGATGACTGGATTTGTTTGAAGAATTTACCATTACTTTATTGCAAACGTTCTTGGTTTGAATCAATTGGTCAACAATGTGGAGGCTTGGTAAATATCTCTTCCTAGATTAAATTTTATTGATTGTACAGCTGCTAGAATTGAAGTTAAGAAAAATACTTGTGGTTTCATTTCAGCTCAGATTAAGGTAATTGATGGAAGTGCAGGAATTTTTCTCTTCATTTTGGGGATATATTTCTTTTAGATCCTCCAAACACGGATCATTAGACTAGTCAATTCTTTAATTTACAAATTCAGTGTCATGAGAATAAGTCAAGTTGTGGTAGACGAACGTTTTACTTTGCCATCTAAGGATTTTATATCCAAAGATGTTGAGTTGAATTCTATTCCTTTGAATGATCAGTTGCAGAAATTGGATGGTCTTTTACTTCAAGATGACAATCAAATTACACAATATTTTACATATAATGTTTGATCTGCTCTGAAATACCTAAATATTCAAAGATTAATTCAAACATTTTGGAAGAAACTTGTGTTCGATTCCTCACTTCCTCTTTGAAGTTACAACAGCCCGCTTCACAACCTACTAACACTTGTACTCTTTCAGTGATCATTCCTCCAAGTTCAAATGTCACTTTAACCAAAGGTTAAGCTCTAACACCACTAAAAATCCTATCTACTCTCCAACTGTTCAAGATATTGAATCTGATGTTAGTATGAGCAGAGAAAAATCTGAAGTACATTTGGTTGATATTGAGATCGATGAAGTTTATGTCAAAGACTCTTTTGCAGAAGCATTTTGAAGTCTTTTTTTCAGTCGTTGATAAAAGAAATTTAGCTGAAGTTTCGCAATCAACAACATTATTAGCAAAATATCCTTCAATTCCTCCAATATTTCATTCCTTAATTGAGGTTTGTGGATTCCAGATGAAAGAAATCACTCTTCAGTCACCAAAAATTAAGATCTAGTTGTGAAACTTATCCATTTTGATTGCCAGCAATGAGAATTACTTCTTCGTAATCTAGAGGCTTTAGGGGCTTTTTTTTTTTTTCGCAAATCTAAATTAAACTGTTGTTGTTTCATATTAGTTTTCAGAGAATTACTAAATCACTAGATAATCAAAAAAATCCAAATAATACTAGGTAACACTACATCTAGATAAACCCTTGGATACTAGGTAAGAGTCAATCTAATAATTCCTAGATACTTGGTAACTAAATCTAAATAATAATCTCTGCAGGTAAAGTAAATCTAAATAAATCCAACAAGATAAATTAGGGAGGCCAACTACTTTCCTTATTCAATATGATTACACAAATATCTCTAGACACTTTTTCTAATTTATTTCAGTTTTATTACCCGGGTGCCTTTATTCACTTTTCTTTAAGCTTTTTTATTTTCATTTTCGCATTTTTCCTTTTTTTCACTCGAGATTGTATCTCGGACATTTTATCCTTATCATTATTCAATGAAAAGTTCATTTTTTGTTTGAAAAACATCCAACTTCAATGATCAAAACATCTTGCACACATGTACAGCATACTGAGCTCCAAAAACCGTTTGCCTTACTGGTGCCGAAGACTGACAAACCAGTAATAGTTGAGAGATAGAATAAGTGACAAGCACAGGGAGGCACCTGAATAATTTTTAGAAAATCCTTCAGGAACAATTCCTGTGTTGCCTTGGACTGATGATTACAGTCAAGAATTTCCAACATTTGAGTGACAGCAACATCAAATAAACCTAGAGAAGCATACCACCTACAAGAGATAACTTTATATAAGAAGAAATCTTACACTTGATTAGTGTCATAATATCAGGGAAGGAACTCAAGTAAACTCTAGCTTCATCCGAATTAAATTAAATTATATTCTAAAGTTCAGAAAAATATAAAAACTCACTGTCCAATGTGGAAATATACATGATCTTTGATGTATCTCCATTCAGTTCCTTTAAAAACAGCAATTGCATTTCTATATGTCCGAATTGCATGGTTAATCTGAGAAGGCAAAGGCAAGTGGCTCGTTAATAAACCTTTGAAATATTAATCAAGCTGCACTACTTGTCAGATATTTACATACTTGATCCATTCTTTTGTAACGATCGCCAGAGAGAACAAGATGAAATCCGTATTTGCGTATCAAAGGAGGTTTGGATAACAGGTAACAATAAGATGCTTGCTCAAGCATGACAGCTGAATGTAAAGGTTCCTAAGAATTTCAAAAAGAAAGAGAAGGAAAAAGCTTAGAGCAAAAATATCTTTGTTACTGGTATCAAGGAATTCAAAACCTACCTCATTACATATACGGAAATAAACAGCAGCAGCCTCTCTGTACTGTTCTCTTGCCTTCAACATCTCTGCTGACCAAAGACCACAGCGTATTGCATTTAGGTGACCAGATGGGCCCATTCTCTGCATGTACTTAAATTCAATTAACTAGAACAAATTTTGACATAAAAAACACAGTAAATACAAAGCATATTAGGAGAACATCAACCAAAAAGATGGCATTAATATAGTAATTCAAGTATCCTCGTGGAGTATCCACATACTTATCAATCCTCTTTCCTAAGATATCATTCGGAAAGTTAAGGTATCGATTTTAATGCATCATTTGAAGTAGACTGTCTTAGTAGACTACTACCTCACGGGGCTACTTTGGGCATGATAAAAGTGAATAGTATTGGTTTCTATTCACATCAATCATCTCCAATTTGCAGAAACTACATTATTTTTCTCTTCTATGGATCACATTGCAGTCAAGAACATGTTTAATTTTGTCAAAATTTTGGACGAGCGAGTGGGCTTGAAATTGATTACAGCAAAATCAAGATGTTATGTGAATATTGACGATTTTTAATGAAAAATCAAGCTTTTAATAACACGTATATGCTTATGAGGATATTTATATTATACATCCCTTGGTTTCTTATAGAAAATAAGACATATTCTAATTCGTTGATAGCTTATGGTACGATATTTATGCAATCCTTGGATGCATCTTCTGAATTGATGGACAAAGTATGCTTTAGAATTGTCAGTTTCAATTTCCCCCTCAGTCTGCATTAGTTCTTTAAATGTGAGAGGATGATGGATCCAAATTATAAAAGGATAAAAATGCATATATTTGAGATACAATTTGCACTGCATCTCAAACAAGGGTTTGTGCGGGAACTTAAAATTTCCTCACAGAAAATAAGCAGCAACAAAGCTTTGTATTCAGAAAAACATCAAGGAGGATAATATAAAAAGAAATACTCGTACCAAATAAGTATTGAGTGCATTTTCCATGCAGTACTCAGCTTCCTTTCTTGATTGGTCGAGCAAAAAGTATGCAAGCCCCATTATCTCCTGCAAAACAAAAAAAAAAAGAAAAAATGTAGTGAACAACGATAGGAGTAGAAAATGAATGACCATAGAAAAATTAAAACAGAGGAGCCATACAGAACACGTACAGGCAAATGCAGGTTATAACTGTGGAACAAAAGTAGCGATCTATGTGGTATACAAGCTAAAAAGAATTGAGCATAAGATAAAAATAAAATTTTAAATAATAAAAAATAAAGACTTGCATAATGGACTGGTTTAATATAATAACAAACTTTTAAACAAGATAAAAAGAAAACCCTTTCCACTACATAAAAAATCCATGGAAACTAAAACGAAAACTCGCAGAATGGTAAAAAATTATTTACCAACCATCTTTAGCTCAAAGCATATAAACAAATTAAGCCAAGAACTCTCTCTTCCTTTCAATTGTAGTAGGGCTAAAGATTACTGTCTGTCCTCATCTAAAAAATAAAGATTTAAACCTACAAGGACAGCAAAGAGTTGGACCTACCTGGACACCAGCATAGCGTTTCCAAGCTTTATCAAGTTTGTAATCAGTAGAAATCAGGCGATAATTGGACAATGCAAGTTCATAATCCCGGAACATGAAGGCATAATCACCCAATACTCTAATCTGAGACTCGATAGAACTATAAGTATACCTTCAATGAAAAATATAAAAATTTATGAATACCAAGGAGCAAAGTAAGGCCAAGAAAGTAAATAAATGGGAAATACGTTGGGCCACTAGGAGAATCCACTGTGTCCTCTTTCCCCTTTCTCCACCATAAGTTTTTAATCTGATTTCTGAAACCTTTCCTTGCAGCAGACACCTAGTCATGAAAAAGTAAAATGCCAATATGAAACTATGTAGAAAATATAAAACCAGCAAATATTATCATATAGAGAAGCATATGATCTTTGCACAGAACTTCTAGAAACCAAAACACAATACCTGTTGATTTAATACCCGTATCTTTTGCTCCATGTACGGAATGATATGTTTTGACAACAAATCTTGCATTAACTCTCGGATCTGTTTAACAAGTGACGCAGTGAGCCACCCTCCCACCCCACAACAAAAGCATACATACATAGTAGCCCTTAAAGCACGTAGCAAATACTTATAGTGATAACAGCAGTTTACCTCAATTAGGTCCTCATTGCTAAGAAAGCAGCCAAGTCGCTTACCGATTGAAGCATCAGACTTCTGTTACATAAGAACGTGAGGTTACAGCCCTGATTTCACCAATTCTTCATCAAAGACATATTTTCTCAAAAGATTAATAAACATAGTTAAATAACAGCGCCTCGAGTGACTTACAAACAAACCCCAAGGATCATCTTGCCGTTCATTGAGTTCATCATGAGAAGAATTGATGCAAAGCAATTGGCAGCCATTTGAACCAAACGTACTCCTCATGTCAGTTAGTATTTTACTTGCCCTAGAGAAGAGATAAAATTACATTCATATGCATCTATCTCTCATAAAAGAATTTTTTTATATATATAGAAAAAAGCCGCATCTATCTCTCAAATAATACTCAGATCCTATTATATATTATAGAGTTTCCGTAACAAAAGACAAAGCACCATAATTGTATATGACCTGACAATTAATCAACCAAGAAACTAATTAACTACAAACTATCCTAATTAATTATCAAAGCAGCAACCATCTTAGCAAACAAATCGGGAAGACAATTGATAATTATAAAAGCAAACTACTAAGCAGAACATTAACAAAGCAAGTTCCATACTGTCCACTACTCAACCTACTGGCATACAACGTAAGAATAGAAGTAGCTCAATTTTCACCAGATCTATTAGCCATGATAACATATCAAAATCACGAAAATATAGGTATATGTGCATGCAGATATATTTGAAATGATTGACTGCCAAATAATATCATGGGAATGTAATGGAAAGGATCCTCCTCGGATTAAGGAAAAGAACATAAGTACTTTTCTGAAGAGCCATCTTGATTATCATGTAACAACAAATAATGCTTCAAAATCTTAGGGTCCATGGCACCATCATTTAGAAGAGAGGGCAATTTGCTTGTGTGAAAGAGGTCAGAAAATCTGTTGATAGGATGATCGTCGCTTGAGGAGACAACCAAAAGGCCTGCATGCGGGCATGGACAATGATGATTAGAAAGAATAACTGTTTTCTATAAATATTTAATTTAATTTGCAAATAAATAACATGAACACACACACTTTTCATTGAGAATATGACAAGAAACAAACAAGGGAATGTCCCCACAGCCAAATAAGTTCATAACAACAAACTTCGAACAAACTAAGATTTTAAAAAAAAAATGTGTGTATGTAGTGACCACCTAAGTATCTTCTCATTCCCCTACACAATCAAAGAAAACTCTAATGTTCCACTCCGACTAAGCTTCCTAAAAGGTGGCTGGCCATCACACACCATAAAGTTATTGCTTGCTTCTTAAATCTCAATGCATATAAAAGTTGGTGCAAATTTTTTTAATAGAACTGTTGACAAATAAAAATTCATGACAATTATGAGAAAATTTAAGTTGGTAACCTTGAGCTATGGCATGGGGCTTTCACTCTCCTAGAGATGATCGAGTCAATGGTTGGAGCCATCTTAATGTCTATCACTTTAAATTAGCTAATTGACAATAGTTTCTGGTCTTAGCGTTGCACCAAGAAAGAGAAGCCATTGAAGCTTCAGAGCTAGGCTGTCTTGTAGTTATCGATGTAAGGAAGGAGGTTTCAATATCATTGGGTGGACTCATAAGATTTAGGGACCAGAGAAAGAAATAAGTTTATGAGAAAATTCAATATAGTGATTTAAACCTTACTCTCTACTATTGACCAGTGCAATGGAATTTCACCCAATCTCATTCTTTGATTGATCATCTCTTGCTTTCTTTCTTCTTCTTCTCTTCTTTCTTTTTTCTTTTTTCTTTTTTCTTTTTTCTTTTTTCTTTTTTTTTTCTTTTTTTTTTTTTTTTT